ACTTTGATTACGCGTAGCTACATCGCCTTACTTACGAGTATAATACTGATCGACTTTGGATAGAATAGTTCGTATGTAGACGCGTTAAAACCGTACTGACTTGTATTCTTAATTTTGCTTTCACCATATTTAAAGCTTTTAATTACATTAAGTTTGTACTTAAGTTAGTTACTTTAATTTTTTTTCTTACAAGGAGAATCTTTCTTTTTGAACTCTCAACATCTCCTAAAAGAATACACACACACACACACACACACACATATATATATACATATATATATATACATGAATCTGCTCATTTAAAACTAATTATTGGCACAAAAGTGAACTGCTACAATTCTCTATTTCGCTATTTTGTGTTTTCCAAAATTTTAAATTCGCTTTGTCATTCACTAGATAATAGTTTCTTGGAAAACGTATAAAATAAGATTCAAGGGCATATATGTGAAATCATAATTTGTATGTAACTGTTCGTTTAAGATTTCTTTGATTTCTATTTTACATATATAAAGAGTTAATGTTTGTTCATACGTTTTCAAGAAGATGTATACGTTGCATAAAAGAGAATGAAAAACAAAATGGATACCGTTCTACTGGGCAAATGACGAAATTTAACTTGCGTTTTTCATGTCTCAAAAGAGCACCTCTGAAGAGCGCGTATTATGTTTATACATAGTTCTAAGATAGGTATTTTGACACAACATCGGACGTTTTCTGAATAAATATATCGCTTTTTTTTTCATATTTCAATTCTTCGATTAAAATTATCCGCAGATGTTACATTTTATGAAATTTAATGAAAGCAAGATATTTAAAAATTTATGTGGGCGCACTTTTTTTTCAGATTTTGCCAAGAATAATTCACTTAATGAATTTCTTAATTTATAGTGACCTATTTCCTTATCCTTTTTACTTCCTTGTACAAAGTAAAAAGGAAGTATTGTAATCGGGAAAAGTTTCAGGCAGCATAATTCAACGAAAATATCCCATTTTGACCTCTTTCAAATGCAATTTAACGATGTGTTTCCGTGATATCTGTACGTAAGGACAGAATAAAACACTCTTTTCCTCCAAAAAAATTATAAAACTGCTTTAAAATGAATTCTGAAGAGAATTTTTCGTGGCGTCTGTACGAACGTGTGTACGTACGTGCGTACGTACGTATCTCGCATAACTCAAAAACGAGTAGCCTCAGAACGTTGAAATTTTGTATATAGGACTGCTATAACATGTAGATGTGCACCTCGTATTTTGGTTGCAATCGGCCGCACCAAACGTATATAAATATATTTATATATATATCCACTCTGTTACCCGGCTGAGTTATCTCAGTGGCTTTACTCTTATATGTTTGCAAATTGTAAATTTGTTTCCTTTAAAAATGATTGAATTATGTTGTTTTATCTTCCGGTTAAGGTTTTTATGCCTTTAGTAAATCTGTATGCAATATTTTTAGAATTATCAACAATTTTAAAATTGTTTAAGTGCCGCTAAGCCTAATAATGTTTTTGATGGCGGCCATTGCTCTTGTTTACATTTGAAACAGCAGGATAGCGGATTTGTTGCCAATCTAGAGAAACTTAGCTTCGCAACAACAAAGATAACGCCTTCATTTATTATTTAAATCATGCTTAATCCTTTCTGGAATTTTTTCGAGGAAATAAGCGTTTAAGATTTACTTCGTAATTTTTAATACAGATATTTTGAGTTTTTATGTATTTTTGCCTTGTCGCGAAGTGAAAACTGAATTAATTGAATGAGAAATACTCAATCGTCTGTGAAAAACTGTTTCTTTTTTGTTTTGTTTGCTTAATTTCTTTTATACATCGTTCTAGCTTTATTATAGTATTTGAATAGAACATGTGGCAACGATTAGATAATTCTTTAAATGATAAATTTTGTGCATTCTGAGTTATAATATGAACGAAGTATAATACTGTTAAGTAAACCTTAGCGCCAGAGTGTCGCTATGCTAAACAAAGTGAATTTCAAAGAATGCATTTATTCTATTGTGGTGTATGCGCTGTCGGCGAAGTAGGTTTAATTCAATCTAATAAGTTTAAATGAAATGCAAGAAAAAATGCGTATAATTTATTATTCAGTACAAGAAAGTCATGTGGTGTACACATCAGATTTTTTCATTGTTCACGAACGTAAAAAATATGCATCGTTCATTCTTTCAAACAAGTTTAACAAAGTGCGTAAAGCGCGTTTATAAAAATATATCAAATTTCAAAATGCGCCGATGTGTTAATTCACGTATATCTTTTGAAATTTTGAATGAAGAACTCTAATGATTTGCAGGTATGCCTAGAAATACGTTTAATTTAAGGTAATGGTAAAACTTTTATATGTTTTAATTCAAACATGTTATTGTAAAATTTATAACAATAACTAAAATATATAAATTTAAGCGTAAAGCAGAAGATAACTGCGAATTTTATTTGGATTGAACCTAAATTCCGGACTATAAATGAAATTGAATAAACATGGAGGAACTAAAATTTTGAGAGCTAATTTCTTAAAATACTCGTGCAGTTTTTACAAAACTTGACACTTTGGCGTAATTTGAGTTGTAGAATCAAAATACAAGAAAAACATGGGCATGATATTTCTGAAAAAAAATTCGATTTTGTGCCAGAATACCTACGTTAGAACAATACTATGCATAAATCTTGTAATATAAATCCTTAATTGCGCTTTCAAGACATTAAAAACACAATTTCTCATTTGGCTTAGTAGAATGAGAGTTGTAGAATTGTCCCCTCTTTTTGTGTGTGTGTGTGTGTGTGTGTGTGTGTGTGCAAGGTGTACATAAACACGACGTCGTTTAACATACATTTATGTTACTTAACGATGCTTATGTCGTAAGAACAACAAACGTAACTACATCTATTTATCAATAAGAAAATGTATTAATAAACAGAAAACAAAATGAGTTTAAGCAAACATTATTCTTTCTTTCCGTTAATTTATTTCCACTTTGGGCAAATAAATTAACTTTTAAATTTTCTCTCAAACTTCAAAGGTTTATTTAACTTTTCAGAAGAAAGAACGCATTAAAACTTATTTAAAACTGTTAGATTCGCAAACAGCATCCTTTCTTTGAAACAATCACGCAACCACTGACAATTTATATTATCTTATTTTCCATCCTTTTCAAAAAGGGGAAACTATTTAAAATGGAAATTTTTCTCACTGTAATAAGATGAGGAAGCACAAGTATCATTTTTGCTAGCAACGAAACAATTGCTTTTCCAGATTTGATTTTATTTGCAGGATTTCGAGGGAAAAGCGGAAACAAATGATTTGACGCAGAAAAGGCCATTTTGTTGCTTTATACTAGGAGTAAAAGATTTAGAAAGTGCTTTAAAAGGAATATCGAGTTTTCGATTCAGTTCGAAGTTGATTTAAGTTTCCGTGTGCAACATTTCACGTCTGTGTTTATTTCTTTATTAAATCAAAAGTCTGTCGGTGTTTGGTTCGAAGATTTATCGTTCTTTTTGAAAAGAACTGGAGTTCATTTACTTTCTTTAAAGTTAAAACTCTTAAGATAAGTAGTTACTACCGAGAAAGATATTATATTATTATCAAAGTATGTACTTACGAATTATTCGAGGAAAACTATTGGAGTAAGCAGATTTTTCAAATTGAATTAAAATGTATTTCTTAATTTATACAGGCTTCAATGCATTTCAAAGAATTCACATACAGCTGACCGTAATTAGCATTTTTCCATAATATCTGTTTTTATATAAATGGTGTATTTAGTAGATAAATGTTAAAAGAGAAACTATTCTTAAAGGGTAAAATATTATGCTTAAGAATGAAAAGTGATAAAGAATTTGAGCATTATTTAATAATGCAATAATTACCTTCATTGTTCCTTACATTCATTACTTTTTACCTTAATTTTGCTTATTTTGTGTTGAGTAACATTTTATTTTAATTTTGTCTCTTCTTCAGGATTCAGAATACAAATCTGAAAAATAAAGCTTTTAAACAGTGTTTCAAAAAACACCTCTCTGAATAAAACTTCGATGCTGCTGAAAATACTTCCACTAACAAATTTCAAACAATGCGAGCTATTCAATTAAATATCGGTCTTACTAAGCGTATTCTTAACATGCATATCCTAATTCGCATTCAATGTAATTCCATTATCAAGCACAAAATACATATTGTTGCGTTCTACGGGTTCGTGGGTTTGAAGTGATTGGTGACAACACTTGATGGAGAATCAAAACACAATTTATTCGCCAGTATTACACAGGAGAGTTCTAAAGACCCGTTTACAGTCGTCGAAAAACTACGACAAACACGCTGAAACAATCAGCAACACAGCCTTCAGGCTACAACGGTGAAGACAGCTTCACGGCAAAACACTAAAATACAGCTTCCGACTCGGTCGATCACTCTCGAGCTAATCTCTGAATTCAAAACACTACTGCTGAACTCAAGGTACTCTTCACGATAAACTGCTACTCCACGTACAGGCAGGTTATTTATAGCTTTTGATCTGCCTTCGAGAACGTTCTCGGGAAATCCGTAAGAAATCTTTCTGGTAATGTTCTCGCTCCGTCTATGGTATATCGCCAATTTCATCGCCAAATGTCGCAAGATGGGCGATTTCTCGTCAAATCTCGCAATCCTGCCTTTCATTGCCATTTTCTGGCAACCTTAAACATGCTTTGTGGGGAAGCTATCTTACCGCAGCTGGGCTTTTTGCAACAAACATATTCACTATGTTTAAAATATTTGCCCACAAGAGTAATTAATATAACTTTTATTTCAAAAGTAGGTAACTTCAGATTATTGTTATTGTTTACCGAACTAATATATTGCGATAGCACTGAACAAATTCATGTCATTAATCTGTGAAATGTAAAAAAGAATCTATTCAAGAGAAAGCTTATGAGCGCGTAATTTCTTAAATAGCAGTAAGTTATTTTGTAGAATCATTAGGTTATTTTGAAGAAGGAGATGTGAAAAATGTGCAGTGCCTTCGCCGGGACTCGAACCTGGGCCTTTCGTATAGGCACCGAATGTGCTACCGTTGCACCACGAAGGCATACTGGAAAGAGCTTATAATTTTCCTTCAAAACTATTTCAGACGTCGTGTATAAACAACTGATATTAATATTTAATTATAAGTCTTATACATCAAATGATAAAGTATGGTCTAATATGGTATTAGAAATGCAGTAAAGGAAATCTGTTGTTTTAAAAATCTCGATCTAGAAATCTAGATCACACAAGTTTGATAAATGGAATTATTTTACGGCGCTTTTTGAAAGATACTTTTATTTTGTTGAGCAATATATCTTTTGTTTGTTTTCTAATTATGCCTTCGTTTCAGTCAGTTCTGTTTGCTCCCATAATATAAAACATGGCAGCTTGCTGTATTTCTTTAAACATTACAAAATTTCTCAAGGTAAAGTAGAAAGTTTTATGGAAACAGTTTTCACACTGGGATAGAAGGGATTTTTAAGTACAATATTTAACATTTTACGCGCTCTTTGAGCTATTTATAAGTTAAAATCTTGAAATACTGAATATGCTTTCAGAAACTGAAATAAAGCAGGTTATGCATTTAGACCCAGAATTTGAGGCGACAAATTTACTGACATATATCACTTTTTAACATATATCAATGAACTAAACTAAATACTTCTCTCTCTGATGTAAAGAAAATATGCAATACAAAAATAGACAGTTTTGGTGATTACTATTTCTATACTGCCTGAAACAACATTTTTATCATATTTGCTCCACGAAAATATCAATTACAGCTATCTCTGTGAATTACCCACGCAAATGTGTAGGAAAAGTTTAAATTATTAATTTGTGAAAGTATATAAACGCTTTACTGATTGGAAAATTTCATTTATTTAATTCATAAAATTCTTATTTTGAGAAATTTAGTAATTCGAAAAACATATTTAATATCAAAATCTAAGGAAATAAACTAATTTTCAGCTTTTTTTTGAACATCTTCCAAAACTTAATGTAATAACATATCATCTGACTAGAATGAAGCATTATCTGATAAGATAATATTTATTTTCAAGTTATCAGTTCTAGTCAATTAATGAGTTACAGTAGAGATTTATTTAATATTTATTCTCAAGTGATTCCTAGGATTCTTATCTACATCGGTACCATGGTTTTTATCTTTATATGCAATGACATACATACCGTTTTTATCTTTATATACAGTGGCATATTTTGTTTTATAAGCTTCATAATGTTAGGTATTAACTGTTTTATAAGTTATATATAAACTATTATATAAAATAAATTTTAAAAAATCATGAAAAACATCTGAAAGCTTTCATTATGTAAAATTATCTTTCATAATTTAAAAGCTTATATTACGTCCAAAGGGGTGTTTTTTTTAACGTTTTGTGTGTTACCTTTATTTATTAAAAATCCTGTTCTTCGCACTTAAACCATAAAATTCAATTAAACAGCAATATATTGAAAAAGAGCATATCTTCAGAATTTCCGATAGACGGTAATTGTAATTGTAAAAACTGTTTTAGACTGTATTTGATGTTTTATTTTTCTGTATTTTACAATTTTTAATGAAAATTTTTGAGTTGCTACGTATTTTTGCCGCGGAATGAGAATTGAACTGATTGAATGAGAAATATATCTCTATTGAAATAAATAAGTTTAATGAAGTGCAGCAAAAATGTGTATATAATTTAATAGGACGTATAAGGAAGTCATGTGGTGTCCTAATCAAATATTTACTATAAAAGATATAGAAACATTTAAATGTGATTTATATGATAACTCTTATTAGAATATCTAGTAAATTTTTCGGTTCAAATTGTATCATAAGGGAAACTACAACAATTTTTCGAAATTCTTTGACTATTTAATCCTTACTTAAATATACTTAAATATATAGTACATGTTTTCGTAATAATTCTTGCGTACAAAAAAAACTATAAGCAGGACACACAAGGTGAAAAATGAGTTGTGTCTGCTAAGTTTTTATATTGAGTAGATAAACTGAATATGCTTATAAAGACCTTTTAAATATGTAAAATTAATTATTAAAAATGTGTAAGAGGATAAAATTTTAATTACTGCACGTACTATGAATTATACATTGTTTGATGGCAACATAGCTAGTTTCAAAATATTCTTTTTAAAATAAATTAATTTGGCAATAAACCTTTAAAATACGAATATAAGCATGACACATCGATTAATATTTAAATCCCCTGCTTCAGTTTTGTCTACGAATAATATTCCAGCTTCGCAAAAATATTGCTGGCTATATAATTACGCATTTTCTTATAATTATTCATAATAAGGAAATACAAAAGTGCAGAAACACTTAACTAATTGGAAAAAAAACATATATTTCTTTTTAAAAGAAATGGGAAGACGTCTTCCAAAAGTGTTAATGAACGTTTAAGCGACTCGAAGCATATAATAATTGAGAAACGATTACCTCTTTAATGCAGAGGCCAAAGAATGTAATTACGGAATTGGAATTATTTCTGCTGAAAACTATTCCTGAAATTATTATTCGAGAACTGCTAATTCGTTTAACGTACGCGAGAAAATAATAACAAAATAACCAATTTCCTCAACGTCGCTGGGTCAGAAGAACAGATTGGGGAAGGTTAAAATGTTCAATCAGTGCCTAACTGGCAATTTGGAACAGTAAATCATCGAAGATTAGAGAAATAAAACGTTTGCGAATGAAAATAAATGTTCCGCTAAACGACATTAAATATGTTTTCAATTTACCGAAAGGAAGTCGTCTGCTCCGGGTCTACATTGTTTTTATTTTATGGCTATATTTTCCCTCGCTACTCGAAAACGATTTTTTAATTAAGCTTAGTTTTTGGAGTTTTCTTTTCCCACGGAATGCTCTTTTAAGCGCTAATGTCGGAAATTTGTATTCCGCGAGGTTTTTGTTCTATGTGGCAGCCATTAATGAAAATGCATTATAAGTTTTCCAGAAAAAGTTTTAAATTCGTTAAGCATAAATAACAATACTTTATGGGTAATACGTTTGTTAATCCAGTCTAATAAGAAATAATTCAAATATTCTAATATGAAAACAAATTCACCAAATCTTAACAGAATTGGATGCAATCTATGCCGAGTAATAACATCTACAACAAACGAAATATAACAAAATATTTAATTTTCAACCTTGTAGAATTTTAAAGATCAATTATGGATCTTTGTAACAAATACTTACTTGTATTGATCGTAACAACAAAAGCGTTACAAAATCCATAATAAACAAAATGAAATATAAAATCTGAGTCATGACAGTAAACTAGAAATGAAAAGATGAGTCATGATAAAAATGAGTTATGAATATAGTATGAATCATGTAAAATATATGAACTTAAACCACGAACCTTTTATGAACTCTATAATCATGAACACTTGAATGACTCATGAACTCTGCCTAATGAATACTGAAAACTATTTGTGATCATGAACAATATGCAATATTATTCTCTTCTACATTTTATACTTCTATTTTATAAATTTTATTATATGATACATCATGTATTATCCTATATTTTAGCACTTTATTAAAAATTCTAACTTTTATTATATGATATATTACGTACTTTATGTATTATGCTATATTTTATTTTCTATATTTTAAGTATTATTCTGTACTTGTCATGATATATTCTATGTTTTAGCATTTTATTCCAAATTTGGAAAATTCAAAATTTTGTTATAATGACACATTATGCGTTATTGTATACTTGATGTATTATTCTATATATATTTTTTCTGTTTTTTTTTTCTATATTAAGAATTATTCTAATTTTGTCATATGATCTATTCTATACTAGCTTAATGTAAAACTCGTTTTATTAGATTTCCCTCCTTTCCCAACCGTACAAAGTTTCGAGATCTGGTCTCATCTCGGTGGGCTAATAATTGATTTACCCACTACACAGTAACCGTTCTAATGACCCTTTTTCTAGTTTTCTTCTAATAATCGTTCTCCCTTTCTGTCCACCTCTCTTAATAATAAACTTCTAAATCTCCGTCTAAAGAACTATCATCAGCTTTATTATTCTTCTGTCCTTCCCTCTTTGTTCTATTCGGTTAGTGATTGGGAGCTATACCTGTGCAATCTTTAATGAAGTTCTGGTGCTCCCAACACTTTTGTATTATTCTATACTTTATGTATTAGTCTATACTTTATGTATTAGTCTATACTTTATGTATTATTCTATACTTTATGTATATAATAATACATAACTTTTCTATACATTACTTTTCTATACTTTGCTACTATGTATTATTCTATATGTATTATTCTATATTTTATTTTCTATATTTTATGTATTATTTTAAATCTGTTTATATAATATATTCTATGTTTTATCAATTTATTCCAAGGAAACTATGACACATTATGTATTATTCTATATTTTATTTTCTGTTTTTTCTATATTAATCATTATTCTAAATTTGTCATATAATATATTGTATGCTAGCTTAATGTAAAAGTTTTATTAGTTATCCCTCCTTTCCTAAAGATACAATGCAATATCTTCGAGATCTTGTCTCATCCGGTGGCCTAATAATTGATTCACCCATTACACGGTAACACTTCTAATGACCCTTCTTCTAGTTTTCCTCTTTTCTTTTTTTTCTAATAACCTTTCTCTCCTTTTCAGACCTTTTCTCTTAATAATAAACTTCTAAACCTCCCTCTAAAGAACTATCATCAGCTTTATTATTCTTTATATAGTAGGTTAGCGACTGGAAGCTATACCTGCTCGGTCTTTAATGAAGTTTTTGGTGCTCCAACACTTTTACCTGCACCGGTTCATCCAGCCAGTGTTACTATTGATATATATATAGACGTTAAGAGTAAATACAACAATTTGTGCCTATTTTTGCCCACCATACTCTGATACATATTTTTCAGTAGATATTTATGAAATTCACTACCGAGCAATCGATTAGGATTGAAAAAATGTCGAAATAGCGTTCGCTGTACACAATCAAAGACAAAAAAAAAAAAATAATTGTGCGTTAGTAACGCACTGTTCTTCT